ACATCAAAATGATGTTATTTCAGCAAAAAAACCATCAACAAGAACCTACAAACTGCAACAATAAATACACCATCTTATTCTTGATTTATTTGTGGAGGTTTTTTCATTGAGACATTTCATCGAACACTTGGTGTTCATAAAAAATCTGTAAGCTGTCACAATGTCTATGAGATTATATGAAACAAGATAAAAGTTAATTACCCTAAATGAAAGAGTAATGAAGCTACAATAACAACAAGAATCAATAATCATCCAGCAAGTATGTATTTGACGTCATTCAAAACTCATAAGAACAAATATGTGTAAGGAATTGAGGACAATTACCAAATATATTCGACGCCTGCTCCAAAATAAGGAACCAAAAGATAATCGAGATCTGAAACCCTAGCAAAAAACTCGTTGTATATTGAAGAATCACTTGACCAACAAAATTCGGAAATCAAATCAATCATTTGTTTGGCGAGGGGATCGTCTTCCAAAGAAGAAATGGTGGTTATGAAAGGAGAAACGAGAATACGAGGATGGAAAGTTTGGAGATTATGGAGGAAATGAGCTCGATGACAGTAGATGAAAGTGGTTTCCGATGAGGGGACGAGTGAGGCGGAGGGAGGTGCAGACAAGAAAATAGAGAAAATAAATGAGTGGTTTAAATTTGTTCTCAATTGTTCTCATTCTAAAAAATGTTCTCTATATATATATATATATATATATATAGATATATATATATATATATATATAATATATATATATATATATAGGGTTAGGTTATAATGTGGATGACATCTATTTTGTAGTCGTAAGGACAATTCTGGACCAATTGATCAATAGAATGAATAGCCATTATATGAGGGTCTATGATACTACAATGGAATAACATGTATCATATTATCACACAAATTTCAACATAAGGACATTTTGGTCAATTAAATTATATTTAAAAAAGGAAATTTTTGTATTTTAAGAAATAATTAATTCTCTTAATTTTAAAATTTTGAATTTTTTAAATTAGTTTAATTTTAATTCTAAGGTATTTTTTTTAATAATAACCAATTTTATTCTGTCAGAATATCAACCATAAACTAGTAAAGATATTTTCCATTTTATTCTTAAAGAATATGGTTACATTCAATATATTTTTGATAATTAATATGCTTAAAGAATTTTACAAAATATATTATTAATAATAACATTTTCTAAAGAATAACACAATAAACAATAACTATATTCATTCTTGAAAAAAAATATGACTAATAATGGTTAAGAATTACATTTATTCTTAAAAAAAATATGACTAATATGGTTAAAAATTATGTTTATTCTTAAAGATTATAACTAAGAATGGTTAAGAAAAATCTAACAAAAACACTACTCCATTCTAAGAGAATATTATTGCTATAAATTGTTTTATACATTTTAGCATAATATATTCTGTCAGAATACACTCCCGTTCTCCATGTTTTTCTTTCTTTTCCACATCAATGACACCATCTTCAAAACCTAAACCCACAAAGAAAACATAATCAACTTTCAAATATTAAAAATTTCAATACATATGTGAAACTAGACATTACCTTATCCTTTGTTTCATTACCAACATCCTTGAATTCATCATCCGACTTCAAAATGCAAACTATGGTTATGGAATTGATTTAAATAATTGCATGTTGAATGGACATTTAATATACAAGCACCACCACAAAAAACTATGTAAGTAGTACTATTACAATTTTTTTTTTATCAATTTCAATTCTTTTAGAATTTTATAAATCTAACAATCAATGCATATAGTTCTGAAAGAATGATTCTAATAGAATCGACAAATTTATAAGAACATGAACGATGCTTGAGCTATACTGATATGGGTTATCAATGTTATATCGAAAAAATAAAAATTGATTGAAAAACTTATCATATAAAAGATGTATTGCCAAGAGTTATCACAGGAAAACAAAACGTTTTCTATATCGACCGATATAAATTTTCCTTAATTTAGAAAAAAATAGATCAAACTGTTAGTCCATATACAAAAAGATATCAAAACCAAACATCATTCCAAATTAAAATCCAAATTTGACGTAAAGAGTAATTGAATTTTATCACATAAGATTTATTCTATATTAAGTTTCTTGGATGAAAGTTAAGGCTTTCATATACTCTAAATTCAATTTTAAAAATTCAAAGATAATAGACTATAAAGGAAATATAAATAAAGATAAAGGAGTCTGATCAAAATAACATTAGACAAGTAGAAACCTAAAAGCATAATATAGAAGGAGAGCATAATCCCTTCTCATATATAATATTTTCTTTAATGACTAATAGCAAGGTAATCAACAATATATTGAAAGAAAGGACTGTAATCGCTATGCAGAAACGTTTACCAATATGCCAATGCCAATTAGAAAAAGTAGAAGAATTTTACGCGGACATTCCTTGCGGCCGACAGTGTCTATAATGATGTGGTGAGTATCCATGCAGCAGAAGCTGTTCTGATCAAAATCTGGTTGTTGTTGGCGTAAAATTGTAATATAGAGATGGCATAGCTGTTGATTTGGATTAAACTACGGTCACGACAGTGTTGTTATGAAAGGCGGTGGTCAGGGCCGACCGCGAGATTCCGGAGGCCCTGTGCAATTTGACAAATATAGGGCCTTGAAACTTGTAAATCAAAAAATTTATGCAAAATAAGTGTCGCTTAAATATACTCATTTTCTGCAGCATTTTACTTTTACAACATTTTACTTTTATTTTTATTTTTAGATTAAGCCATTAATTTTTTTGAAAAATAAATGATAAATTACAAAAAAATCACATGAAAATCCATATTAAAGAGCTCAGATTCTTGGGCTAACTTCCATTCTAAAAGGAAACGTGCAATATATCACAAACACAGACATGCAATAAGCAGAAATTAGCAGTTCTTGAACTAAAAATCCTTCATTTACAAAGCAAACATTAAGTATTAACAACAAATTACTTTCACTTTCATTTGTCTGATGCCAAAAAAACAAATAACTCATTCCAATCCTTTACCTCACCAGAAACCACCAACATAAACAAACACCAAATGTAACCAATACACCAACATAAAGATTGATTTTTTAAAGCTATTTACTTTCTACAATACGACATCAATTTCATGTTTGTAATTATCTGAAAATGTAAAATATCCACACCACAAAATGAATGAGCACAAACATTTATCAAAGATGCAAATAAAAAAATAACCAGAATGGAAAACATATAATTATATTTGCTTGTGCCTTCACAAAAATCAGAAATTGGTTTCCTTGTAACCTTGTTCCTTCTAATTTTCGAAAGTGATTTACGTGTCCCTTCAAAAATCCAAAAGTCAAAAATTAAAAACAAAAACCAATCTAGAAAAAATCAAGAATTAGAAACTCTCTATACCTACATCAAAACCTTTATTCGGATTGAAGTTCAAGCTTCTAAAATCTGATTTTGCGAGGAGCAAGAAGAACGACCGAAAGATTGTAAAACTCAAAACTGATTTTCGAGAAATCGATTTCCTCAATGCCTTGTTCGTTCCTTCCGATTTCAGATTTTTGAAACTCATGTTCTCATTTTCTTAGTTCTTGTTCCTATGAATCTGATTTTCAGAACTCAATTCTTGTAATCTTGTTCTTTTAAAATTAGAAATAAAAAAATAAGCAGAAGAAAAAGAAGTAAGGAACAAGAAAAAAAATCAGAAATACCTTTATCTCTACCTTATGCTTCTGATTTCGAAACTACAAATCCACAACATGAAATCTGAAGCTTCTAAAATCTGATTTTCGAGAAGAAATAACGTTTTCTGATTTTCGAGAAAGATTGTAGGATGTTTGTAACTTTGTTTAAGAATTTTGAGAAAGATGAAAGAAGTGAAGAACTGCTGCAGATTTAATTCCCGCTCCAGCCCCATGTGTAAGAAGAAATCGAAGCGTTTTGCTCTCTTTTCCCGAAATTTCATCTTTTTCCCGCTTGTCTTGCCTTATACGTGCAAACTGCCATGAATTAACCTAATGTGTTTTGCAATTTTTGGGCTCACTGAACACAGGCTAACGAAAAATGCAATAAAAATTATGGGCCCTCTGATTTTTTAGGCCCTGTTCAGATGCACCTTCTGAACATCCCTTGGGCCGGCCTTGCCGGTGGTGGAGGTCGTAAGAATATGATGCAATGTTTTCGATCGTATGATTTTATGGTGGGCTGATCCATATAATTTGGCTGAAATAAAGGAAAGTGTTATATTTGGATTATGATTTGATTTAATTACTTTACATAATTAACTAATAGAAATAATTAATTAATGGATAAGATTACTTTTATACCCTTATATTATTTATTGATTATTTATATTTTTCTTAAATTTTATTGATACTTACATCCACACAAGATATTCCACATATGAACCTCTATATATATATATATATAATATATATATATATATATATATATATAATAAAATAACGATAAGAATAACACGAATGCGATCATGTGTTTTGTTTTAGTTGACTGTTCTTTAATTTTATTTTTCTCTACCTAACCTACCTAAAATACTATATTATCCTTTTTGATAGGAGTATTTTTTATCATTTATTTTATGAGCTCTAGAAAAATGATACGTGGATAGAAAGTGGTTTAAAAAAATGGTATGTGTCAATTTATGTTTATGAACGATATAATTAAGTGTTTTAAACCATATATTGAGCTGTTTTAAAGAAGCAATAAAATTTTAATACCAAGTCATCAAAAAATAAAAAACTATAGTCAATAGTCAAACTTTCGTCATCAGTAATATTTCAGAATTTTGTAGGTTTTATATATCAACCCTAAATTATTTCACTGGTTCAACCGTCCCCACAAATCGACTATCACTTAAGAAAAGTCTTACACAGCTAATTTATCCAGTCCATTTATTATATATATATATATATATATATATATATATATATATATATATATATATATATATATATATACATGATCTATGCCAAACTTCTTCAATGAGCTATTTTCTGCTTTCCGTATCTGAGCCATGGAGCGGATGGAGAAACTACTTTATGAAGCATCAGTAGAAGGAAACCTAATCGTTTTGATAATGTTGCTTCAAGAAGATCCATTGATTCTTGACAGAGTTACCCTAAATCGCTTTGGGGACATGCCTTTACACATCGCATCAACTCTTGGACATACCGACTTTGTTAAGGAGATCCTAACTCGAAAGCCTCAGCTTGCTATGGAGCCTGATTCACAAAGACGCTTGCCTCTTCATACAGCATCTGCAAAAGGCCATGTGGAACTAGTTAGAGCTCTGCTATCGGTTAGCTCTGAAGCATGCCTTGCGCGTGATAGTGATGGGAGCAATCCTCTCCATCTTGCAGCCATTAAAGGACGCAGTGATGTCGTAAAAGAGCTGGTGCAAGCCCGACCTCATGCAGCTAGAGCCATGGTGGAGCAGGAGACCATCTTACATTTGTGTGTGAACCATAACCAACCGGAGATTTTGAAGTTCTTAATAGAGACCACGGGTGATCATGAGTTTCTAAACTCTAAGGATAGTCAAGGCAATAATATATTACACCTAGCTGTGGTTTACAGACAAACTGAGGTACACATGCATACCAAGATTTTTCCCTTCTTTTTGTAAGAACTAATGTTGAAATATCAAATATATAATAAGTTTTTGATCTGTATTTGCAAGATTTATTCATTTTTATTAACTGATCCTATCTTTAACATTTGTTTAGACCATAAACTTGTTGCTACTCAGTACAGCTATACAAGTCAACGCAGCAAACACAAGTGGGGAAACACCAATGGATATATTGGCTCAAGGTCCAAGAGATTTGAAATATCAACAAATCCTACAGTCCCTAACGCGAGCAGGAGCTGTTGAGGCGAAAATTGGTAATTTATTCAGACAAGATCCTCAAAATTCTAGAATCGAAATCGGTGTGGATGGCTTAGACTATAATAACAGACAAACCTTTCCTTTTTACTTGAAAGAAGCCTCTACAAACTCTGATGACTGGCTGGACAAAAAGCGAAACACTTTGATGGTTTGTGCGTCATTGATAGCAACCATGGCTTTTCAAGCAGGTACTAATCCTCCCAGTGGTGTTTGGCAAGATGGGTCAACGACAGATCCAAACCGTAGGGCTGGATATGCTGTCATGGTATATAATCATCCAACGGCATACCAAATCTTCCTGGTTTGCAACACGGTGGGTTTTGTTTCCACTCTTAGCATTATCTTGTTGCTTATTAGTGGATTGCCTTTTCTGAAGCATCGTGTTTTCTTGTGGATCCTGATGGTTATTATGTGGATTGCTACTACGTCTATGTCACTAACGTACTTGGTTTCTATATGGGTTTTGTCACCAAAACCCGAGTCAGAGACATTCAGGAATGTGGTAATTGGTATTGTGTTGGTATTGATAGGGTTAATGACTCTTTTAGTTGTTGGAAACACCATTCGCCTGATTGCAATCACTACGAGGGGCTTCAGAAGGCTACTCTTCCCTAGAAAGAGGCCAATCTTACTTCCAATTATCAGGAACCATGATGGAATGTAAATAACATGTGAAACATTCAACCAGTCTCACACCGGGCACGCGCCAACACTTATTATATTAAGATTTTTGTTTTTTTAATAAGGGATATGACTTAAAAGGGTAATGTATCTTTGGTCACTGAGTTTTTTTTCATCTACATTTACCCCTTGAACTTGTTAAACTGTACACATTCAGTCCTTATGACCGGCTACTCCAGGTTCGCCGGTAAAAATGACTTAGGGTAATATACACTACAAGAATAATCGGCAATAACAGCGACGCCTTTAGCGGTGACGGAGTCTTTTAGCGGCGACAAAATCAAAAGCGTTTTTGGTGGCCGCTAAAAATATCCGCCGCCGTAAAGGCTTTTGTTGGCGATTCACGTCATTTCAATCACATCCGTCGATTTAAGAGATGATCCTACGACTAGGATGACATAAGAAATACCACGTTGTTTTCCGTCCGATGTGTTGCCGATAAAGAGTGTGCGTCGCTGCTAAAGGCTTATTTTAGCGATCCGCGTCATTTCAGTCACATTCGTTGATTTAAGCGATGACCCAACGACGTAGAAAACCCCGCGTTGTTTTCCCTCCTATGTGTCGCCGCCAATGAGTATGTATCGCCGCTAAAGGCCGTCGAAAATAAAACCCTCTTCATTCTCACTTTCTTTCCCGATCTTCTGTGTTTTCCCTTCCTCTCTCTGCTCACCATCGTCGACCTCATCGGAATTTCACAGAAAACTTCGCAATTTCACCCCTCTCTGCTCCATTTTTCTCCTTTTCTTTTCCTTTTCTCTTCTCCCTACTAAATTTCTAGAATTTGAGATGGTTGCCGGAATTTTGAGATCCGTGACCCTTCTCGCTGGAATATACCGCCACCACCACTGTTCTCGCCGAAATATTGATTTTGTATATGTGTATTTGTATGAGTATTTTGTGTTTGTAGATATGGATGTGTATTTGTATGTGCATTGGTATGTATATGTGTATTTTGAATGTATTTTATGTATGTATATGTGTTTTTGTATGTACACTTATATGTATATATGTATTTTTATGTATATGTATGTGTATTATGTGTGTATGTATTTTCGTATGTATATGTGCATTTTATATGTGTATTATGTATGTATATGTGTATTTATATGAATAGAAATACATATAAATAACGGCGACACTTTTAGTGGCGACGGAGAGCATTAGCGGTGACCAATGGAACATTAGCGACGAACCAATAGCGGTGAAATTTTGGACCTTTAGCAGCGACGCCCATCGCCACTAAAGATCAAAATTCTTATAGTGATATTTCTCACAACACCTATTTCATCTCGGCAACACCTACTATGTATTCCTGCATCTGCCCCTGTCCATACATTTTTTTTATGAATGCATGTATGGATGTTTTTTTTTTTTATAAAATCGTATGTAAAAATATATTACATTTTAACAGAAGTAATCTTAATGAAAAAATGAACACGTGGATATAAAAATCGTTAAAATCTGATATTGTATGAAGAAGTTACGACGTTCATAATACAATACCTAAGTCAAACCACAAGACCTACGCAACCAAGTAGTCGAGATCGTGTTGGACATAAGCATCAACAACCCCAAACATCTCATCAATGATTGTCCCACGTAAGATGTCGTGAGAAAAACCTAAAGAAATCATTCATAATTACTGAATGAGTACAAAAAATGACTTATTTTGAACAAAAAAATGTTAATGACTAAATATGTAAAAAAAATATTAAGGATTAAATGTGTACAAAATAAAAAATATATTACCCTATTAAGTCATTTTTCCCGGCTAACCTGGAGTAACCAGTCATAAGGACTGAATGTGTACAGTTTAACAAGTTGAAGGGGTAAATGTGGGCGAAAAAAAATAGTGACCAAATATGTACAAATCGAAAAATACATTACCCTTTTAAGTCATTATCTCTTTATTTTATTATTTAATATTATTATTAGCAGTTCTTGTATCCTTTCCCCTTTCCCCTTTCGCTTTTTAGTCATCGTCTTCGTCACCACCATTAGACTCACCGAAAAATCATGGGCTCCCTATACCTTGCCAAAAAAACTCGCCACCACTCGCTCACAAACCATAGTGTAGAATTACATCCCCTTTCACAATCTCATCTATTCGATCTTAGAGTAAATTACATAATAAATCATCAATGTGTAATCACACATCCATGAAAAAACAAAACCAAATCGTCAGCAAAGTAAGGGGCGGAATAGTTGCAGATGGCATCCCCCAACCCTCTTGTCCGACACGACCTCTCCCACCCCTCTTGTCCAACACGACCTCTACTTGTCCCTTTATATTTTTTTTATGATAACACATTCAACAACATAAAGGCTTCGGAAATAAAACCAAATACAAGGATTTGGCTCAAGTTTCTTTTGATTGAGTTGCAAAGTGATGATAATGTCTAGATTTTTTTACCCAATTGAACTGAAACTGTATTTCAGGCTTTGAAATAACCGTCACCGACTTTCTAGAGGTTCATTCGAGGCAAAATCCTTTGGATCCACTTTAGATCAAATGAACCCATGCTTGGAGTTCATACATAACATATAAGATTTAATTAAATAACACATGTGGTGACTTCGTTCGACTAGAGAGGGTTGAAGATGAAAAGAAGAAAATAAAAGGAGAATCGCCATATTAATTAGACTTTATTATTTAATCACCATATTAACTAGACTTTATTCATTGTATAATGTTTCGAGTAATCAACTAAACACTTGAATTTAAACATCAGTCATGCCATGTTATAAACATGCATACTATGTTTCTCTATGGTCCTTCCTTCGCGAACAGATTGACTAGATACTATTTCAATGATGATCATTTCACAATTCCAAATTCTTGTCACTACTTAGAATGTGTTAGAGTTCAACCTTATATGCAATGTCCTTTTGTGATGTCGATGCTTCAGAGTCACAGAGACTTAGACAACGATATTACAAAATGTTCCATTGGAACTTTTGTTGCTAAAAACAATTCCATCGTAATGAAGTTTCAAATTCAAGGTACATTCCTTGAACACCTTCCTTTCATTAAAGTTTCTAACTCACATGTAGATTTTAATAATCAACTCCCATTATATAAACCATTCCATATTCCCATATGACCATCAATTTTAACCAAAAATCATCTCAATCCAAAACATGTTATTATGGTCCTTCCAACCAATACTATACTTGCAACTGTCCACAAACAACCAATCCTTTAGTAAATCTTAGAATGTTCTTGATAGTTGTTCAATAACTTTAGTCACACCAAGTTCTAATCCTTTTTCCCTTTCAATGCCCTAGGCATTTGAAAAAAATAAAACAAGTGGATATTATAGCGTATGTAAGCGATCCTATATTCGAAGCATATGAGGCTCGATTCTTAATGTCTTACATAAAGACCTGATATCTGATCAGTTTCTTGCTATAATATTTCCATACATCGAATTTCCTAGGTTGAACCATTTCAACACGATATTCATATATGTCCGAGACTAAGTTCTTTTAAACCCTTCAATCTAAACTTTTAGATTTGAAACGAAGTATGAGTATCCTCTTCCTTAAGCCTTACTATAGCGAAACAATTTCCAAACTTCGCAACTTGCAAACTAAATACTTTGTTCCTTACAAATGGTATTACCACCTTGCAATGCTTAGCATAACAATTATGCTCTCACTAGCTTTGACATGTAACCAGAAATCAAATGGACTTCTAGAAATCAATACTCTTGACTTTATTACCAAGGTGCATATTTATGATACGTGATGCTTCGATAAGTCTCCAACTAGATTTCTCTAGCTTACGCACCTTCATTAGATAGAATATGTGTGTGTTCAACCCCTTTCAGAACTTATAACCATATGTTCTGAAAGTTCAACAATTCCTTGCCATATCTCACAATTCGAACTATGAAAAAGGATGTTGTAATCATATTGCGAATTTGAGAATGCAATTTTCACAACCACTAACCATAATGATATTTATCAAATCTTTAAAATCTACTAAAGTGTTTCCTCATAAACATTCTTATGAATTAGAGCGAAACCTTTTGGCACCCAAATTTTGTGGTGTATGTATTCCTATCCATGTGAATCCATCATTTCCAACCTACAATCATAAACAAGGTTTATGATAAAACCAAATTCAAATTTAGCTTTCCTTACATGGACTGAACTTCGTTATTCTAAATTTCTTGCCCTTTGGTAGCACAAAGGCCTACCAGTGCTTCCGTATTGTTAAGCAGTTCACCCATATTGATCAATCTACTTTCACTGACCAACGTGCTTTGCCTTGGCAGTCAAATGAGAACCATAGAACTCATAAGCATTGCCAACCCAACCGAAAGGTGCACAGAAACAAGAATGTGTCAAATTAACACGATAGGTTATCAACCTCAGTTTGTGTGCTAGCGATAACTAAAAGGTTTATTCTTGATTAACTCCTAAAACTCTTCAAGATCATTAAGACTCCTACTGACTTCTTGACATATAAGTTTCTCTCTTGACGAGCAAAAACAAATATTCAAAAGTTTGTGTGGATTCTCGACAAGAAACACTTCATGGAATTGGCCTTAATTTATCCTTTGTTTTAACCAAAACATCAAACTTCCATTTCCAAATGTGCTAGAGTAAGAAAACATTATTACTCCACATTTCATGAGGTGTTATAAACCTACTTAGTATAAAACAAGTTTTCAAGATACGATCTTTAGTAACTAGAGCATGGCTCTAAAATTTATTAGAAACGAAGTATGACTCATCTCTCGATTGAACCATTTCAACAATATCTGATTCCTCTTCTTAGTAAAACAATTGCACTAAGATGTTATTAGAGGATCAATTGTGATATAGTTACACAATCATTAAGATGATCACAAAACACGATACGAAAGTACTCTCCTTTCATTTCAGATAAGAGAAACTTTTATCTTTCTGCCTAATTGATTATTCTTATTCGTTCTGCTACTCTTTGAAACTTTTCAAAGAATCAAAATTATG